AAGCTTTTAAAGACTTACTCAGCCACCCAGGGGCTTGAGAGGAATAACCAGGTGTTTTGCAGAGTCTCTCTCTTTTTCTTCTATTTTGTTATTCCTTATTATTGCCTGATATACAGTAGAGGTGACAAATAGATTTAAGGAGTTAGATCTGATAGACAGAGTGCCTGAAGAACTATGGATGGAGGTTCGCAACATTGTACAAGAGGTAGCAACTAAAGCCATCCCAAAGAAAAAGAAATGCAAGAAAACAAAATGGCTGCCTGAGGAAGCTTTACAAATAGCTGAGGAAAGAAGGGAAGCGAAAGGCAAGGGAGAAAGAGAAAGATACACCCAATTGAATGCAGAATTCCAGAGAATAGCTAGAAGAGATAAGAATGCCTTCTTAAATGAACAGTGCAAAGAAATAGAAGGAAACAATAGAATAGGAAGGACCAGAGATCTCTTTAAGAAAATTGGAGATATGAAGGGAACATTTTATGCAAAGATGGGCATGATAAAGGACCAAAATGGCAGGGACCTAACAGAGGCAGAAGAGCTTAAGAAGAGGTGGCAAGATTACACAGAAGAACAATACAAGAAAGAGCTTAACGTCCCTGATAACTACGATGGGATGGTCACTGACCTTGAGCCGGACATCCTGGAATGTGAAGTCAAATGGGCCTTAGGAAGTCTGAGCAACAACAAAGCTAGTGGAGGTGACAGTATTCCAGCTGAGCTATTCAAAATCTTAAAAGACGATGCAGTAAAAGTGCTATACTCAATATGCCAGCAAATTTGGAAAACTCAACAGTGGCCACAGGATTGGAAAAGGTCAGTTTACATTCCAATCCCAAAGAAGGGCAATGCCAACGAATGTTTAAACTACTGCACCATTGCACTCATTTCACACACTAGTAAAGTTATGCTCGAAATCCTACAAGCTAGGCTCCAGCAGTATGTGGACCGCGAACTACCAGAAGTACAGGCAGGATTTCAAAGAGGGAGAGGAACTAGAGATCAAATTGCCAACATATGCTGGATCATGGAGAAAGCTAAGGAGTTCCAGAAAAACATCTACTTCTGCTTCATTGACTATGCTAAAGCCTTTGATTGTGTGGATCACAACAAATTGTGGCAAGTTCTTAAAGAGATGGGAATACCAGACCATCTTATTTGTCTCTTGAGAAACCTATATGCAGGTCAAGAAGCAACAGTGAGAACTGGACACGGAATCACTGATTGGTTCAAAATTGAGAAAGGAGTTCAGCAAGGCTGTATACTGTCGCCCTGCCTATTTAACTTATATGCAGAGCACATCATGAGAAAAGCAGGGCTGGATGAATCACCAGTTGGAATTAAGATTGCTGGGAGAAATATCAACAACCTCAGATATGCAGATGATACCACTCTAATGGCAGAAAGTGAAGAGGAACTAAAGAGCCTCTTGATGCAGGTGAAGGAGGAGAGTGCAAAAGTTGGCTTGAAACTCAACATTAAGAAAACTAAGATCATGGCATCTGGTCCTCTCAATTCCTGGCAAATAGATGGGGAAGAAATGGAGGTAGTGACAGATTTTATTTTCCTGGGCTCCAAGATCACCGCAGATGGGGACTGCAGCCAAGAAATTAAAAGACACTTGCTCCTGGGCAGGAAAGCTATGGCAAATCTAGACAGCATACTAAAAAGCAGAGACATCACCCTGCCAACAAAAGTGCATATAGTCAAGGCTGTGGTTTTCCCAGTTGCAATGAATGGCTGTGAAAGCTGGACCATAAGGAAGGCTGAGCACCAAAGGATTGAAGCCTTTGAATTGTGGTGCTGGAGGAGACTCCTGCGAGTCCCTTGGACCGCAAGGCAATCAAACTGGTCAGTGCTAGAGGAGATCAACCCTGACTGCTCTTTAGAAGGCCAGATACTGAAGATGAAACTCAAATACTTTGGCCACCTAATAAGAAGGAAGGACTACCTGGAGAAGAGCCTAATGCTGGGAACAATAGATGGCAAAAGAAAAAGGGGACGGCGGAGGATGAGGTGGCTGGATGGAGTCACTGAAGCAGTTGGTGTGAGCTTAAGTGGACTCCGGGGGATGGTGGAGGACAGGAAGGCCTGGAGGAATGTTGTTCATGGGGTCATGATGGGTCGGACACGACTTCGCGACTAACAACAACAACAACATTATTGCCTGTTTTTATGATCCATTTTAGTTGTTTTAAACTTGGATCAAAAAGTTTAGTTTAGTGATTCAGATTCCTTAGGGGAGGTGCCAATGTTACCGTCTGGTCACATATTGTTGGCTGAGTTTCAGTTATTGCGGCCTGATGACATGGACAAGGTGCTTGGACAAGTACGTACCACCACCTGTTTACTGGACCCTTGCCCATCGTGGCTACTGTCCAAAGCCAAACATGGGATTGGTGCCTGGATCCTGGAGGTCATCAACGCCTCTCTGAGGGATGGCCGGGTGCCTGCCCCTCTAAAGGAGGTGGTGGTCAGGCCAGTCCTAAAGAAGGCGTCCCTGGATCCAGAGATGGCCGCCAATTATAGGCCAACATCCCATTTTTGGGCAAGGTGTTAGAACAGGTGGTGGCGGGACAACTCCAAGCTCTCTTGGATGAGACTGATTATCTGGACCCATTTCAGTCCAGCTTCAGACCCAGGTATGGTACTGAACCTGACTTGGTTGCCCTGTATGATGACCTGTGCAGGGAGAGAGACAGGAGGAGTGTGTCCATGTTGGTTCTCCTGGACCTCTCAGCGGCTTTCAATACCATTGACCATGGTATCCTTCTGGATAGGGGGCTGGAAGTAGGAGGCACTGCTTGGCAGTGGTTCCACTCCTACCTTGACGGCTGATTCCAGAAGGTGGTGCTGGGGGACTTTACCTCTGCGCCATGGCAACTATGCCATTCTGTCCTCCTTGCTATTTAACATTTACATGAAATCACTGGGAAAGGTCATCCGGAGGTGTGGGCTACGGAATCAGTACGCTGATGATACCCAGCTCTACCTCTCTTTTTCAACCAATCCAGGTGAGACAGTGGCTGTACTGAACCAGTGCCTGGCCGAGGTAATGGGCTGGATGGGGGACAATAAACTGAAGCTCAATTCAGACAAGACGGAAGTCCTGCTGGTGGGAGGTTCAAGCCCCTGGGAAGGTGACTTGGATCTTGTCCTGAATGGGGTTGCACTCCCTCTAAAGGACAGGGTCTGCAGCTTGGGAGTGCTCCTTGACCAGAAGCTGTCTTTGGAAGCTCAAGTGACGGCGGTGGCAAGGAGCGCTTTCCATCAGCTTCGGCTAATCCATCAGCTGCGCCCCTACCTGGAGGACGACTGCCTAGCGACAGTGATGCATGCATTGGTTACTTCCTGGTTGGATTTCTGTAACACACTCTATGTGGGGCTGCCCTTGATGACAATCCAGATACTTCAGATGGTGCAAAATAGAGCAGCCAGGTTGCTGACGGGGACTGGGCGTTATTCTAATATAACCCCAGTCCTCTACCAGCTTCACTGGCTTCCCATCGAAGTCCAGGTTCAATTCAAGGTGTTGGTGATGACCTATAAAGCCCTTAACGGCTTGGCACCTGGATACGTAAAGGAATGCCTGCTTCCGTATTTGCCCTCCCGCCCCTTGAGATCGGCAGCAGAGGCCCTCCTCCGGGAGCCCTCCGGGAGAGACATTAGGAGACAAAGTACCTGGAGGAGGGCTTTCTCTGCGGTGGCACCCCATCTGTGGAATGTGCTCCCCAGAGAGGTCCGCCTGGTGCCGTCGTTATTTGTGTTTCGGCACCAGGCTAAGACCTTTTTATTTAAACAATATTTTAACAATGTTTAATATTTATAGGTTTTAATTGTGCAGCCGGGGTGTTTCCGGGTTTAAGTGTATTTGTATTATATTTATTTGTGTGAGCCGTCTCGAGGCTATACAGCAAGGGGACGGCATACAAAAACTTTAAATAAATAATTTAGATGTAACTCAGCTGTAAATTGTAATGATGTTAGTGACAAGAGGTACCAATAGGTCAAGAATAAACTTTGATCCATCAACTCTGAACATTTGGGTATAAGCCATCTAGAGATAAAATTTCTAGACTAGTAAGAGACGCCTAGGGGAGTAGAGGGGATTAATGATAAAATGATTAAGTGGCAATTAAATACTGTAAAGTACCGTTTGTGTTTATGTTTGGTGCAGTTCTTTTCTGCATACTGCCTCTATACGGGCATATTCTGGTTGCCTTGACTTGCCTGTTTCTTAAGTGCTGGTGGTTTGTGTTTCCATTCGAGGTATTTGTGCCTGTGCTTTTCAGGAACCCAAGTATTGCAATCTAGTAGTAAGACCAATTGCCCAAATTAGCACTTGATTCTGAGAAGACGGAATTCCACGATAAGACTTCTGCAAATTATGCCCTAAAACAATAGCCCTAAGTCTAGCCAGTTCATTTAGGGTGGCAGAAAAACAGATTAACTGAAGCTACCAACTTTATATTTACCAGTCCCCGAGTCCCTCACACAGGAACTGAAGCGTGGTGGGGTTCATAACCACGTCCTAAACTTCGGTTGCTTGTTGGGGGTCTCCTGAGCAAGGGACTGTTACAGGCGCACACAGGCAGTTCTCGTTTCAAGAGCTCGCACTGTCCTTCATGTGTGCAGATACCGGCAGTTGTAGTCCAACACATCCAGAGGACGCCAGGTTGGGGAATGCTGTTCTGGCAGGTCAGCATCACACTCATTAAGAAACTAAGTAACACATTTTGCATTTGAGTCGGTGTACGCGTTTACTGAGATATATCCCAAGTGAAAATCTTTACATTCTCCTCCCGTTCAACCCTACCCAACTCCCTTTCAGTCCTGCCCAGGCCTCCAGAGTGCAAACGCCCGAAACCTCCGGTTGCCAGGACACCAAAACAATCCACGGCGCATGCTCCGCAAGCCTTCCGTCGTAGCGCTGTTCTAGCCTCGGGAATAGCGTTTCTATCTCACTCGCTATTCTAAGCCGTCGCTCTGTGGTCTGATGAGATCATAGCTTCGCGACGGGTAGGCTGGATGTGACCTGTGAAGCTGATATCATGGCGGCGGTGGATATACGAGGTACTGTTTAAGTGTCTGCTTCCCGCGAGGATGGGGACGGAACTCTGTAGCGGCGCAGGAGCGGCAGTAGTGTGAACAGTCGCTCAGACATATCATTTAGAAGAGCCCCTTTGAATATTTCCCTTTACGGTCTGTCTCCACCCATCTTTGCCAGGAGCCGCGAATTAAGTCGGGTAGTAGGAAAGAATGGCTCTTGATGTCTTGCTATAGGGCTGGAAGGGAAGTAGAACAGGCGATTTAAAACGCTGTCTAAGCGGCTTTTGTCCCCAAAGGGCTTGAAACCGCTGCTGCTGTGTTGGCATGAGAAGCTAATCTCTAATAGTCATCTTCACGAAGTGCACTTTTTGTTTTTGCATGCTAAATAGTCGTTAGTAATGTGGCGAAAGCCAGTCAACAAGGTTGCATGAACAAATCTTGGTAAACTACTTTTTCTTCGAAGCAAAATAACTGGTTGGTTTGACTCTTTCAAAGCATAAAAGTATATGTTATTTTTACAGACCATGAAATTGCATAATAGGGAATTAAGAGCTCAACTGTTTGAGTTTATTCTTGCCATTTATTCTTAAAATGTAGTCCCTTAGCTAAATTCTTACACTACAAGGCACTGAGTCAAGGGGGTGGAGTAATCCTCAAATTCCGGAAAAGTCTTTGAAGCTTTTAGCAAGCATGCAAATAACCAAAACAAAACACTCAGCTGTGGAAAGGGTGGGCAGAAAATTCTCATAGTGTTGGAATTAATATCACCCAACAAAATTGGTAAAAGGTTAAGAGTAGGAAAATATACAGTGTTCTTTCATAATGAAAAATATACTTGTGAAATTCATTGCAACACACTGTAGTCATTATCACTGCTTCAGTTACATTTATGTATTTTATTTGCAGCATTTATATACTGCTGTATATTTAGACAGATTACTGAGCAATGAGCAATAAAAGATAAAGCTAGATAAAAATAAACACAATGCCTTAAAAGCAGGATAACATTAAATCCATGACTTGGTCAGCAAGAAAGTTTTCCTGGAATAAAGATGTATTCAGCAGGCACTGGTTTTGGAGACTGCTTGAGCTTCAGAGAAGTGTGTTCAGTAGAAGTGGAACCAGCACACTAAAGTCTCTTCTCTTGGTAAACTCCCATTGGTCCACATGGAACCACCAGGAGAATGCCTTCTGATGACCTCCGTGACTGGGTGGGTTGGAAGGATATCAAAAAGGATTTGATATGTTTGGAGGCTGGGTCTGCTCAGTGACTGGTGGTTACTGGCAGCACAGTACTGGTTATGTTTACTCAGAAGTAAGTGGGGGCACACTGTCCATTATAAAATGGCTGCCATTCATAACATGGCTGGTCAGAACACTCAATTCCCAGAAGCCAAACTGGTAAAAGAAGAGACTTGTGTAACAAGGTACAAGGCAGAGGTAAGGTCAGAGTTTCAAAACAAAAAGCAACCTTTTTGAACCCAAGCAAAGAAGGCACAGGTGACGCTATTCCATTTTGCAGCAAACCAGTTTTTGTTTGATTTTTTAAAAAATATTAATAAATAAAATAAAAATCAGGAGGAGTAGGGAGCCTGGTGGGCACACTGGAGACATAAGGTAAAACATAGTGCTAGTTTTACCATAGGCTTGTGTGCTATATGACTTCCATAGCCAACATTAGCCTAGCTTGTTTGATGCCTATGTTATTTATTCATTTGTTTGTTTAATTTGTTTCTTTGAAAGCCATCCATTGATATCTTTCTGGGTGACCATTGCAATATAAAATCAACAAATAACACCACTTTCCAAGTTTATTAATGATACCAGGTTAAGATCCTTTACTTCCCTAATAGTAAGTATAGGATTACATTGTTACCTGATTGAGTTATATAGATTAGTTTCAATGGCTTTTTCCTCCCAGTGCTAAGCACTTAATCCATACAAGTGTGAGGAGCTGGTGTTTGGCTGAACTTGTGACTGGGAAGAGCAGATATTTGTTACTGATGGAATTCAATCCCTTGTCTGTTCACTTTGGCTTGAAAATATTTGTTCATCCACACTGATTGATTGATGGGAAGGAGAGTTTTCCATCACAGCCATTTGGCAAGAAAGCCACACATTTTTCTTTCAGATTGGAAACTTAGCTTGAGCCCTTTGTCTGCCTTGAGTCCTTTGTAGGAAAAAGGCAGGATATAAATCGAAACAATATAAATAAATAAATAAATAAATAAATAGCTGCTGTCCTTTGTGCCCTTCTAAATTGCAAAGCTTGTCTATAGTAATGTGCTGTATATGGGGTTGTCCAAGAAGACTGGTCAGAAACTGCAGTTCAGTCACTCAGTGCCACCTAGACTGGGATGACTGGGACCATATTCAGAGACTCTACTGATGAAATAGGCTTCGTAGTACAGCCCAAGATGTTGATTTTTTTTCCAAATCTATAATAGCTGAACTAACTGAGGTACTTTGTAAGCTCTGTTAGACCTATTTTAACTGTATAATCTGTATACTATGTTCAAACAGCAAGACAGCTTAAAAGTTGTTATCAGTGCTTGTGCTTTGCTGCTGTGAAATTTATTTTACTTAGAAGTTTATCAAAGCTTGCACTTTTGATTAGCATAATAATTTTATCTTTGGCATCAAAATTGCTGAAGCGCAGTATGTAATCATATTCTGATAGGCAGAAAAGGCTTTGCAATTTTGATTTTTGTTTTTCTTCCACAATTACGTGAGTCTATGTAATTTGTGCTGTTGCAGGGAACTGGAGATGCTGACTGTTGGGAATGCTTCTTCCTGAAACAAAAAATTAAACTGCCAGTCCTCTACACATTTAGGCAAAAAAACATGTCAGCTTTTTTCTCTTTAAATGTGCAAAGGATTGTGCCCTAATTATTAAAAAAGAGGTAGTCTGTGAAGGCACATTAGACAAGAAAAACCTCTGCCATCAATTAACTGATGAGATCAGTGTGGAGTTGTGGTTAAAATGTTGAACTAGGACTGAGCAGACTGGGGTTCAAATCCCTAGTCAGCACTGAAGCTCACTGAATAGCTTTGGGCCAGTCACTGACTTTCACTCTAGTCTCTGCCTTGCAAGGTTCTTCAGAATAGAGAGGAAAAGGGTCATGCATACTTCCTTGGATCTGTTGAAGGAAAGGGCAGATCATAAATTTAACAAATGAATAAACTCTAAAACATTGCGCTTGCAAAGCTTGGTCAAGCCTTTTTGACATGGGTTAACCTCCCTACAGAGACAAATGTTGTGTTTGGTAGCAGTTAAAGGAACAGAAAGGCATGGTGGTATGTGTGTAGCAACTATTGCTATGAGAGAATGAGCTGCAGTGTCATCAAGCCCAGTGTTTTCTAAAAGCATTGTTACATGCATTGAGCTAAAACGCCATTTTGGTGCATACTTTTTGAGTATTGTTGGGGAAATCTAGATAAATCCTGGTAGAAAAAGATTGCTTATATGTGCCTTAGTGTTATAAAATCAAATCTACGCCCCTTTCTCAGAAAGCAACAGAATTCCAAGCCAGGTTACTGTTTAGCATTGCTGTTACTTTAAGAATATGGAATTCTTAGCTGGATTGAGAAGATGCTATAGGCTAACACTATCAGTGGGGAAATTCCGGTGTTCCCATCAGCTGCTGAGAGACAAAGGTGTCCATTTGTTTTTGAATGGACCCATTTAATCATCTAGTTCAGAAGAGGCAAGTGCCTGCACAAGGTAGTTGTCAAACCAGTTTTTCTGAATGGTTCCTCATTCGGACATATTTGCCTATTTAAGTAGACACAGAGGCTGATCCAAACTGTCAGGAAATCACTGAATTGACTTGCCAATAAGGCTCAGTCAGGGAAATTTTCTATTCTATTGTCATTGGCATTTCTGATTGGTTTAGAGCAGGGGTCCTCAAACTTTTCCACCAGGGGGCCAGTTGAAAGGTGCCGGTGCCGGGCGCGGGCTGGAAAGGTGGTGCCGACAGTGTGCGTGGGCCGACACGGGGAGGCGTGTGCGGGCATGCGCACTGAGGCAGGGGCGGGGCGTGAAGGGAGGGGAGGGAGGCGGAGGTGGGCATGCGCCATGAGGCGGGTGCACAAGGCAACGGCTTGCTCGCTTGGAGATCGTTTTCTCCGAGTAAGCAAATCGCTGCCTCCCTGCGCACAGGGCGAGGTGGGTGGCAGCGGGGGCGTGTGTGTGCAGCAAGTCCAAATGGACCTGCCGGGCCGGATTTGGCCCCTGGGCCGTAGTTTGAGGACCCATGGTTTAGCGCAGGGGTCGGCAGCCTTTAACACTCAAAGAGCCATTTGGACCCGTTTCCCACACAAAAGAAAACACCGGAAGCCGCAAAACCCTTTTGACATCTAAAATGAAGATAACACTGCATATATCGTGTTTTACCTTTATGCTTTGTATAAAAAAACTAGTGTGTTGCATTTATGAAATCAATGAACTGCTACAGAGAAAACAAATTTTTATTTCTGCATGCAACAAAAACATTTTGAACTCCTAAAAAAAGACAAGGAAGTAGATCCAGAGAGCCAGTGTGGTGTAGTGGTTAAGAGTGTGGGACTGCGACTCAGACGATCTGGGTTCTAGTCCCCCCTCAGCCATGGAGCCAACTGGGTGACTTTGGGCCAGTCACAGACTCTCAGCCCAACCTATCTCACAGGGTTGTTGTTGTGGGGATAAGATGGAGGAGGAGAATGATGTAAGCTGCCTTTTTCCTACAAAGGGCTCAAGGCAGCTTA